TCTCAGGTTCTAGTATAGTTGTTATTGTTGTTGCTGTCTTTTGCTTACCTTCCCCACCTCTCCCCCTCTCTAATCTAAAATTTCAAATAAAATTGAAAAATGAAATTTAATATACACATACATATATACATACATACATGTAGGTATATATACATATGTACATACACACACATTTAGGGTTAGTGTGATATATATAGTGTATATAGTAGGTCAGTGTATATATACATATATATGTATGTATATAGGTTATATTTGTATGTGTACACATATACATACATTTGTATTTGAGTACCTGTTAATTTTGAACCATTTCATTATCACACCATTGTTTTGTTTTATTATCTGTTTTGTTAACCATGAATTCCACTTGATAGCTTCAATATAACACATTACTATCCGGGGTCTGTTTGTGTTTAGTGTTATATATAGTTGTTAACTTGGGTTAACACAGTAATTTTTAACAGTTACTTTTATTGGTACTTTCATTACATTTGTATGGAATTTGTGTTCACGTAAGAAGTGTTTGTATATGTTATTATGTTATGTTATTTTCTATATACAGCCAGGTATGTGGGGATATATGCAATTGTCTCATAGGCCAACCAGGAAGGTTAAGCACAGTAGACACCAGGGTTGTTATGAGTTGATTTAGCCTTAGTCTCTTATGTAATTTTTTTTTCTAGTTTTTTTGTTTTGCACATTTCCTGGAAGGACAAAGATATCCACTTATGAGACCACCAAACAAAGCCTCTTGACTCTGCCACCTACTTGACAGACCCTCTGGCTACGACTATCTTATCTAATCTTATCTTATCTAATCGCTTAATTATATAACGTATAACGTTTAATACCCTACATGTATCAAACATTATGGTATTAAATATGCACAGTTTAATTTCCAGGGAAGAATAAAATGCTGTTATATAGTGTCTCTCTGTGGTTATTACTGACCATTTTGACATAACTCCTATCTCTTTTTCACACTCACACACACACACACATACACATACAAGCACGCACTCACAGACGCACACACACGCACGCTCTGACACACTGACCTACTTTCTCTGTACGCGTGCACATATATATCTTGTGCACTCTGCTAATGGGTCAAGACACGACAATAATAAACACACACACACACACACACACACACACACATAAGCAATCACTAGTGTAAATAAATGAATCACAGTGACGGCAGATTGTCTTTAATAAGGAAACGCAGGCAGAATATAGAAATATAGACTGGTCTCTATGTTTTCTGCATGCATGATGGTGTTTGGAGTTGCAGTCGAGTGGATCCATGTTTTCCTCCGCTCACGTGTACCGGCTGCTCGGCAGCGCCCATCAAGCTGTCGCTAAAGCCGAGAGGAGAGCTTATTATGGGAGTTGCTCCTGCTGTCCTATATCAGCAACAGCCAGCAGCATTTCTGCAGTCTTCTCCAGCCATGGCTCCGAGTGAACGCTGCTTTCTCCACCGGCAGAGCTCCAAACCGAGAGGAAAGTGTTGTTATTAAGTCGTTCATGTAAGTAATGTGTTTTATTGAATGCTCAGATTTCTGTAGACGTGGTTACCTGGTGCCACAGGTGGTGTTTTCTTTCTATTCAGTTCTGCTCAGTTCAATTCAACCTTTAGCATGAAGAGCTGTAAGTCATATAAACACACATTAATAATGTGATAATATCAATACTGTGCACAATAATGATAGAGGGGTGATGGGATATAAGTAGTACAGTTAATATTGTTAATGCTCTTAAAGAGAAACTACACAGAGTAAACAGAGTATCAAGCTTCAAAATGTGTTGTAAATTCTTATTTATAGGCTGGACCAACATGTTTGTAGGCAGACTTTACACGGTCAGTGTTTACTGCTGGAACCTGTGGCTGAAGCCTCAGAACAGGTTTAGTTAGTGAGAAGTGAAGACCCTCTAAAATGTATCTATTTATAACGTAAGCGGAGTCAATGATGGGTCTTAAATAAAAAAAAACAAAAAAAACTGTCAGGTCAGATTCAGATAAAGACCGAAATGCTGTTGGAAATATGAACCTAAACAGTGAGTGGATGACTGGAGAGTATTGGCGGTAAAGGTTTTGGATTGGTGGTTCATGCATGTGTTGAGATTACATAAGTATATAGATCTGAGACTGACTGAAATATTTCTTCCACAAGACTGGGGGAAAATCTCAGGAAAGAAGTGTTTTGACAATTTTTTTGAGGTGAGTTTATTCTGTATCCACTTTAATTGAGTATACTGCATCCTGCCTATAGACGCTTCATTACAGGTTCTGTCAGGAGTGGCAGTTTTCAAGCTCAGATGTTATTGTTTTTGCACTTTATGTGTAGACAAAAACCGCTAAACAGAAGAAAACTGCTGCTAAATAGTCATCTATGTATATTACTTGCTCATGTTTTCAGTTATATTTGCACTATATGGGTTGTTTCTGCACAGTTTTCTGTTCTTTATCTGTGCCTTAGCTTTACTTGTAAATTTGTATATTCTTATTACTCTTTTAGTATTTTGTTTTTATTGTAGTATTTGTTTTAAACCGTTGTTCTTGTCTTCTTACTTACATATAAAAACACCTAGTTCTGAGAGAAACTGTATTTCGAGCCTCTGTATGTCCTGTAAATACGGCAAAACAAGTTTTAGTCAGTGCTCTTTTGGAATTCTTTTAAAAGTTGTTTAACGGTTGGTTACATATTGAGTGTTCAACGATGGGCTCAGTTGTGACAGTGCATATAGTGAAGAACTCATGGGATCTACTGTGGAGATAACTTTTGAACTGTATGCAAGCTTGCAAACGAGTGATAGTTA